TTCTTCCTCCTTTCCTCCTTCGACAGTTTTGCCTCCTCATTCTCTATCAACCTTCCTCCTTCCTTTCCTTGCTCATCCTTTTTCTTTCTTCTTCTTATTCTTTGTCTCTCTCTTCTCCCTTTTTCTTCCTCTCCAAATCTTGTTTTTTTTCAAACCCAAATATGGGTTCTCAAACCAGCATTGTATCTAGTAGAGCAATAGAAGAGCAAACAATTCAAGCAAAGGACAACGACCTTTCCTCAAAATTAATAGGAATGGGGGAGAATAGGATATGGGTAAACATTCTCGATTACTTTTCGATAAATTAGTAAAGATTTGCACTTATTCAGTGAATAACCAATCCAATTGCATTCTGCACTACTGAATCAGCCAGATTTGAACATCAAACTCAAAAAACATCGGCGTGTTTCTCCTTGCTTGTTGAAAAAATTATTGTTGGCTGCATGGAATGTTTCTTTTATTATCCTGTAAAAGAATGCCGGTTCCATCTCCAAGTTGGAATTCCATGTTATGACCTATCTCCCTACTTCCACTCAAACTTAGATGAATTCTTTGATCTCCAAAACCCTAATTCCCTCCATCTCTCTTCACACCAAAACTCACTTCACTTCAATCTCTAACTCACTTCCTAACTTCAATAGGGCATCGTAACTAGATTCATGAGTTTTAAGTCAGCTTAACGAGTCTTCCAACTTAGACTGGACCCACTTGCCGAAAACTTGGAGTAGGTCATCGTCAACGAGAACAAGGAAGGTTCGAAAAGTTTCAAGGAGTCACTTCTAGCTACAATGTCATATCTCGACATGCTCAATGACTTTCCTCGAAACAGAGCCTATCGGAATAAAAATTGGGTTGGTTTGAGAACCCAGATTTGGAAAGGAAAAATAATGGAAAAGAGAGAAAGAATAAGAAAAAGAAAGAATAAGGATGAGCAGGGAAGAAAAGAGGAAGGTTGATAGAGAATGAGGAGGCAAAACTGTCAAAGGAGAAAAGGAGGAAAAAGATGAAGTTTTTTTTTTTTCTTTAGGGTTGAAAAATTGTGAAACAATAATAAAAAAATGTCAAATTTTCTTCATTGGATTTACATGTTGTTAAAATTAAAAAAATTCAGTGATTTTGTGGCATTTTAACATGCCACCTACCTATTTAACTGATGAAAGGGTCATTTTAGTACTGAAAATAAAAGTTTATGGATAATTTTGATACTTTTTAAAGTTAAAAGATAATTTTGATGTCAAAGTGTAAAAATTGAGGGAGCAAAATGATATTTTAACCAAATTAAAAATACAAATGATTTGTGGATGAGAAAATGGCAACGCCATGATCGGTGGGATGGATACAGTAAACAGAGACGGGGGCCCCGCCGTCACTTGCACATGAAAAGTCAAACGAAACCATCGGCTCATCAATGAAAATGCTACAAGTGTATAAACGGTTATCGTTACACGCTACCTAATATGAAAAATAATTTAGGAGTAATTTTTTAATATATTTTTATGTATTATTTAAATAAATAATTTTTTTATTTATTTAAAATTAATAATATTAAATATATTTATTTATTTAATAATATATAAAAGTTATATAAAAATTTATTCTTATATCATTATTTTATTAATATTTTGTAAAATGATTAATTATAATACTAATAAATATTAATTATTTTATTATTTATTAATTAATATTTATAATTACTAATTATTTTTAACAATAAAAGAAAATAAATATTTTAATTAACAATATTTAAAAACTTACGCAATTCTAAATTTTATTTCTGGCCATAATCATGTCCACAATTTTAACTACATAATTTTACACCTAATTTAATGTAATATTATATAAGCAAATAAAACAGAGACGAACCCGCATTTGGCCTTCGGATTTAATGACA